CAGAAGGTTAAGAACATCGAATAGAATAGAACGAGAAAACAGAATCATTGTAATGGAAACGAAAGAACAATGAAGTCTGAAACGATTGAGTGAAATTTGCGAAATGATCAGTAATATTTGAGACAATTGATTGATATTTTGCAGGTTAGGTATTTAATGTATGGTTCTCAGATTATACTAAGATGTTTTGTAACTTTGTGTTCAAATACATTCTATCGTCCCCACTCCTGCTCTCGTTCACCATATAAGTAACTGTTTTGAGAGAAGAAATAAAAAGTTCTCTCAGTATTATTATCAATTTCCCCATATCCCCAGGATGAGAACAATATTGAAGGTTTTCCTGGACTGGCGTATTGGTGGTCGTCCTGTCTGTGATAAGTGGATAAAATGAAATTCGGTATGCTGTCCAGTAACAACAAGAAATACCTAATAAATACTCTATGAGTCCTGTCTTCGCCAATATCAGAGTCAAAGAGATTATTGTGAATACGAAAAAGAGAATTTTACTTGAAATTCAAATCAGCCATGGCATAACATACGAAAATATTCAGCAAAACCTTTTCTTCTTATCCGTTCAAAAAACAAGTAGAATCTAAACAGTTAAGTGGTTTGCCAAATAAAACTAGCTAAATGGAATAATTGTACGAGGAGTGTGACCATAATTCCACATGTTCCATGATCGTGCCATTGAAAGATTCTTCCAGGATGAGGTTAACACAATGGTGATACATTGTTTGTCCATAATTATCCGATATCAACCTGTTAAAATTCAAGGTTCGTGCAAAGATATCATAAGCAAGATTATAGATTTTCTATTACCACTGCATGCTCCAATTACGAAAAAAGGAGAAGGGTTAAGCATGAGGTCGGCAACCACATCCAGCAGAAAACAACCTTGATAAAAATCGCCAACCAGATTAAACAATTTAAACTACTTAAACTCTGTCCTGGGAAGGGAGAATTATGAAGCCTCATGATGAAACCCGAGGGTCTTCAGAAGTCACGAGGCCGATGACCCTTCTAACAACCAAAGCAACAATTAACATAAATACGTAGAATTTTCAGGTAATGTGGAAGACCGGGAAGACTGGTCAATTAGCAGTGGAAATGAAAAGATACAACTTGGCACTATTTGGAATCAGCGAAACCGATTGGATACAAGATGGAAAATAAAATATAGGTACGGGGGAGATGCCGCTGTACTCCGGCCACAAAGAGGAAAATGCTCCACACACTGAGGGGAGTTGTTCTGAAACTATCCAAAGAAGCATGAAATGCCATTATCGGATGGGGATCTCATGGGCCCAGGATCATCAAAGTATCCTTCAAAACAAAGAAGGAGGGAATACACAATGAATGTTATGCACCAACCAATGATAGCAAGGATGATGATAAAGATCAGTTCTATGGGAAGCTGCAGTCGATCATAGCGAAGTGTTCAGGAAAGGACCTGACCATCCTAATGGCAGACCTAAACGCCCAAGTCGGAATGGACGACAACCGTTATGAAGATATCATGGGAAAACATGAACTTGGAGAAAAGAACGAAAATCGAGAGAGATTTGTAAATCTATGTGCATTCAACAAAATGGTTATAGGCCGCACAATATTCCCACACAAACGCATACACAAAGTTACATGGGCCTAACCGGACCACAACACAGAGAACCAGATAGATGGAGGACAAGGAGAAGAACTAACATAGCTTGAGACCACCACCTGGTGGTTGCCAAGATGATACGGAAGCTAAAAAAATACTGAACAGCTGGGGGAACAGCATAAAGTTCTGAATACCCCACACATTCACAGATAGACAAGCTATGAGTCAGAATGTTTGCCAATATGAACAGTAGAGATTTTTGATGAACAACAGAAACTAAGAGTCTCATAGAAATTAACTTTAATTACACGTCTGACATAGGTTCGTCGCATTATTTTTATTATATTTACAGACTCAAACAAATTTGAATATACAGTTAACTGATTGGCAGTCACCTGATTGGTATCGATGGTGTTAATTCAAATGTAAGTTTCATGTACTGATTAGCATGCGACGGTTAAAAAATCAGTTGAAAGTCAGTCACTCAGTGAACGGTTGTATATTTTACCGCTGCGAATTTCTGTCCTTATCATCAGTACAAATATTACAATTATGGCCCCGATCTTACTCACCACTGTTGTTTTCATTCTACTTTCGGTAATGCGAACAAGTATTCCGATTATTGTGCGGAATATCATGTTGCCTATTTCCCTAAGTATTTTGATGACTACTGTCATCGTGAAATTGTGATATATTGTGTTAAATTTTCTGATAACTATTTCACTATATATTGTTACGATCATCATGTCTACGATTAGCTGCCTAGTATTTTAACTATCACGATGGTGGTTATAATAATTAGGATTATAGTTACCTGTTTTGTCGGTTAATGTGGTGTGAGCTACTTATATCCACACAAGTAGTATATAACGATGGTCAAAAAATGGAATGTATTTCAGTAGAAAAACGAGGAAAGAACGGAAACAGAAAGCAACTGGCGTGAAAATGCACGAACAATGAAATCTGAGACGATGGATTGATATTTGCAAACGTAGCAGTCAAGTTTGAGACAATTGATTGATATTTTTTCAAATTAACTTTATGGTTCTCATATTTTAGTGAAATGTTCTGTAATTTCGTGTTTAAATACATTCGATTGTCCTCACTTGTGTTCTCGTCCACTACATTTATGATACTGATTAGTATGATGTAAATGGATGCAGTGATGCAATTTAAGTATGATGCTTATTTGTATTTTCTATTTATTCTCGTTTGATAAGGTTCAGTCAGTCAGTCAGTAACAACGTTGATAAGGTTAGGATGGCAGGTAACGAAGTAAAATATGAGAAAAGAACATTGAACAACGTGATTCTAATGTTGTGCAAATGTGAATTAACGTCTTATAATATAATTTTAAAACAATCCACATTTGTTTACAATGTGTTTACTGGTAAATGGTGAATGCGGGCAGCATAAAGCGTGCTTGTAAAGTTTTCACCAATAGGTAGGGTCGGCGAAGTGTAGGATTTGCTCGGTTGTGTAGCTGTGGTAATTGCACTAACATGATTTCTTCGTACCTGATTGCGCGCTGATTACGAATTGCAAATACAATACGTCCATTTGACTGCCTTAAATATGACTTTTTCGGAAAGTCTTTGTACATTAGTTCCACACATTGTTACTTGTCCTAAGTGCAGTGGAGGGATGAGAATTCCGTCTATAAAACTCCAAGTACAAGGTGATCCAGTCATCCTCAAGAGGCGAATAAATCCCTATGGTCTTCCAGAAGAGCAATACATAAGACATTTATATGGAGTGGAGAAGAGTCATGCTTTCGATGTGTACAAAGGGTTCTTCCAAGTGATGCTGTTATTCGAACTTACTCTCCTACTTTACAGTTTGTAAATCACAGACACATCTAGTGAGTATTGGTGCAGTTTTGGAACAGGTAAGTAGACCAGTATTCTGTTCCACGCAAATTTACTGTTGCTGAACAAGGTTATTCACAAACGCAACTACAACTTCCTGATCACAACCTGGTGGTTGCCAAGTTGAAATTGAAAATAAAGAAGCATTTGAAAACTGGACAAACAGCATTTCAAAGGTTCAATACAGGCTTCCATCGACAACCTGACAAACTCAAACAATTCATTATAACTATCAACAACAGCTTCCAATCTTTACATGGTATACGGGGAGAAGAGTAAATCACCATGAAGGACAACTGGAAAGGGATCAAAGGAGCTCTAACTTCGTGTCAGGTTCTGGGTCGCAACGAGCATCGTCATAAGAAATGGATCTCCATCGAAACCCTGTACAAGACTCAAGAAATAAAGAACAAAAGAACGGCGATTTACAACAGCCGAACAAGAACAGAGAAAGTCAAGGCACAAGCTGAATACGCAGAAGCAACAGGCAAGTAAAGAGAAGTGTTAGAGTCGACAGGCATAAAGACATGGAAGGGCTAGAACAACAGCGGGAAAAGCTGCAAGAAAAGGAAATATGAGACAGCTGTATGACACAAGGAAGAAGATGGCAGGGAAATATAGTAAGCCAGAGAAAGCGGTCAAGGAAAAGAATGCAAGCCAATCACTGAAATTCATGGACAGAGACAGATGGTCAGAACTTGTCGAGGAACTCTAGAATAGACCAGCTCCATGAATCCACCGAACATCGAAGCAACACACAGACCTTCGTATAGATGTCACTCCACCAACGATTTAATAAATCAGGATGGCTATCAGATAAATCAAGAGCGGGAAAGCAGAAGGACCAGACAATATACCAACTGAAGTCAGACATAGAGGTAATTGTAAAGGTGTTCCATGTTCTGCTCAGGAATATTTGGAAGGAAGAACAAGTGTCGACAGACTGGAAAGAAGGATACTTCATCAAGACACCAAAGAAAGGAGATCTAAGCAGATATTAGAACTACAGAGGCATCCCAGTACTATCGGTACCAAGGAACGTTTTCAACTGAGTGTTACCGAACTGGATGAAGGATTCAGTAGACGTCCAGCTTCAGGATAAACAGGTTGGATCCTATAAGGACACGTCGTGTACAGACGAAATCGAGACACTACTGATCATCGTCTGTCCCTTCGTGCCGTACTATGCGTGTAGCATATCTCATAGGGTCCTTCAAAATAAATATCCTACTATGGGGTATACGTATGAATCAGCTGTAGTCACTTAGCCGATTACGGGGAAAAAGTATGACGAAAAAAACATTTTGCAAGCTGGAGTTGCTTCGGTGGTTTAATTATGGTGACAAATTTACTAGTTTTGTAGTATTGAAGGTTACATTGCAAAAACCAGTTAAATCTCAAAAAGAGAAAGTACAGTTTCATAAGTACTACTTTGTGAGAAGTGACCAGACTTACAAAAGAGGACCGAAAACTGTTCAGCTCTAGTGTCTAATAGGTTTAGATTTGTCTGTAATAAGCTACAAAACATTATTGTGAACGGTTTATTGGAAAACTCTCACGACAATAACATTTTAATAAAATGCAATATTAACAAAAATCAATTGAAGTTAGTTACAAGAAAAAGTTAATCTCTTGGAGAAATGCTATTCAGATAAAGAATTCTCTTCAAGTGCTTTTCTAACTTTGTTTTCAATACGACGAGCTGCACTTTGAACTTCTTCGCGCAGTATGTTTATATGCATCTGCCAGGTACGATTAGCAGACTCCTTAGTTTTGAAATATGACTAAAAGAGAAAAAAGATATATGACCAATTCCCCAGTATATTCAAAAATAAAGTATTATTAAAACTTAAAAATAGTAAGTAGATTAAGAGCGCATAGAGGTTAAGTACATCAATAAATAGGTATTTTATTTACAGTATATTCAATACACCAAAGGATTGAGCTACTACATCTTTCGACGTCAAAGTTGTTATCTGCCATAAATACTTTCCAGAGGCAGACAATAAATGTTGACTAGTGAATGTCCGAAAGTCCTTGGTTTGTAATTCAGTTATCACATTAAACCATTCTTTTTATATATACTAGATGTAGTTCCGAAAATGCAAGAGGGTATGAAGAAAATTATACGATGACAAAATGAGAAACCGATAAGGCCGCAGAAGGGTCGAGCAATGGAGACAAACATGAGAAGAATGAACAACTGGATAGAACTAGAAAGGAAGGCCCAGGACAGATTGGGTTGAAGAACGCTAGTCGTCGGTCTATACTCCATTGGAGGTAACAGGCGTAAGTAAGCAAGCAGAAGGGCCTGACTTTAGGGATGTTTTCAATAGTCAAAACATAGATCAACCATAGTTGTTGCAAAACAAAAGCTTTATGATTTCAAGTCTTGTATTGATTATACTGACCGAGTTCAATAGAATACAGTAAACGAAATGCGCATAGTAGCTGATGAATAAAATTTAAAAATAAAACAAAGCAGAAAATTGTCCTAAAATATTTTTAAAACGTTTCTCTTTGTGAGAAAGAGTATAACACATAAAACTTACATGTGATAAGATAGAAAAACCAACATATAATTGGAAAATTGTCACTGAATGCCTTCTAAAATGAACTCAATAATCCAAGCGATCACCAGCTGTTACTCGAATGTTATAGCGCTAATGCTCGGAACTATCACATTGAACAACAGTTTAGTATTGAAGAGCACTTAAATTTTCAGATATTGGCAAGATCTGAGTCTACATTTTTTATAGGAACTTAGATTTTATGATTAAAATTCTTAACAATAAAGAGATGTCAACATTACTTCTGTACACTATCATATTATACACCCTGAGTTTCATATTGTTCAAATATAATAACTCAATTAAGAACCAAGTAAACACTGACTATATACGCTAGCCGACCGATCACTTCGCCTAACCAAATAAAATACCATCTTAATTCCCTTGAAGTTATATCTAAATTGAAAAAAGTGTTACGCGAAATAATGGTACATTCCCATATACATTTATACTATACTACGGTTCGCGTCATAGTATAAGAAATAGTGCTTACGACTGAGTGTACTAAGTGCTTAATAAAGAAGGCCTCAGAAATGTACCACATCTTAAAAACCACCGTTCTAAATTTCAAAATCAATGTAATACAAGTTTAAGGGGTGCAATGTCACGATTTATTTCGGTTTAGAAAAAGTGGATATAATATTTATATCGACAGAAACGTTTACACACGAAATGAGACTGAAATGTTGATAAACATAACTTAATAATCAAATGTACTGAGTATCAAACGGCATTTTTGTATGAGAACATTGAAGATATCATTTGGATGGTAAAACCGAAGTAGATACATCGGCATCTGAACCATAACTGCAAAGTTGCATTGCATATAAAAAGATTTCTACGGTTAATACTTTAAAATTACCTCAATGTAAGGAACAAACACTGATAATTGTTGACTAATATTTTCAATATAAGAGGTGATTTTAACTCTTTCTTGAATTATTTCTTCAAGTTTACCCTACAAAAACAAATAATACTTCATTTTACAAAATAATCATCAGTAATAATACCGATAATGCACGTAAAAGTTAATCAACGGAACTATCCTATCCTTTTAATAACCAAAATAGGTCAACATTAAGCAAAGTAAATAAATGTAAATAACCTAAAACAGTAAGTGAACTGGTAGATGAATAAAAAAGGACAGCATATTACACGCTTAAAGTGAATAAATTATTCAGAGCTTAGCTGGGCAAAAACTCCATCTACGGAAATAGGGCAGTCGACTTTTGTAAATAAATATGTACAGAACTGCAAAGTACATGAAGTGTCAACAGTGAAAGAAATTCGCCGGGTTTCAAGCTAATAGTTTCGAGATGAAGTTTACTAAAATACTTACTTTCAATGAGAATCTCCTTAAGAAAATTCAAACCATCTTTCACAACGTCATATATGTAGATCTTATAAAAACCTGTAATGAAGATAATTACAAGCTGATTTCATATGGGTTGATTTTCAAAACCCTATCAGCTCAATATTTAGAAAGAAAATATTTGAATTAGACATATTTCCTAGCTATATTCTACATTGAGGGATTAAACAAAACATTCCTAATATAACTAAAAGGCGTAGCTGGTACAATTGTTGTCGATAGATCAAAAGAGTAGACCAAATATCATTCAAATCTAAAACACATTGAATTCAGTACATTTTGTAGGATTAATTGAAGATTGAAATCAGTTGTTATGATTTGGAACTTCGATGCTGTTTAAGGCACTTTTACATTACAAGTAGAGTAGGACATCTTCTAAACTTACTGAGAAATTTTGTTTAACTTTAGTTTCTAGCTTTAATCTTTTTTCCAGTAATCAAATTATCTAATTTGCATTCCCTCAGTTTTATTAACTACATATTATTAATAACACACAAAAAATTTGTATTCAGATTTAACTGTAGTTCCTATCCTTATTATTATGTAACTAGTTGTGATAACTAAAAGATTATGAAATCCACCGTTATTCACTAAAATGACGGAGAATATCTATAGCTAAGGATGAGGTTATTGATGGTATATTCAGAACTTTGAGCTGGATGGTTGGGTCGTGAAGCTCTCAGTGCTTTTCTAGCGAACATCATTATCAGCACATACTTCAGAAAGAAGAGTTACTAGGATCTCACCATAGTTCACTAACAACCAGTTTTGTTGAAATATATCATAAATGGTTTTTTGTCCATAATTGTGTGAATGTTTTTTCGATCCTTGATTAAAACAGCAACAACCGATCGACTACTATATTAAGCTGTATTCAGATCCATTTAATTACACATACTACACAGAGAAATGGGAAGACATATCTAATGGACTTATTATAGAAAGCAGCCACCCAGAAGATTTCACCATGGAATGGTGATCTAACGTCTCACCATGTATTAAATCAACAGAAAAAATTGACAAGTGGATAGTATATGTTTTTAGAGTTACCTACCATCAAAACAAACATACAAACAACAGCCACAGAATCACGAACAATAACAACGACCCATCGAATTCCATCCAGGTCAACAGAACAAGCTATTAGTCAGTTGGGAGGAAATCCAAATTAGTTGGCACTTTTTGTGAAATATGCGCTGCGACTGATGTCTTTTAGAAAGACAATGAAAGCTTCACACGACTAAATCATTCAGGTACCTCAGGGAACATAACACAAGTGAAAATGTTTTATCTACTATAGGATTCAAAATTCGTTAATTAAAATTAGGAGGTATCACAAGTGAATTTGTTATGCTGTGTTTTCGCTAGAATCTGATATAGATATACAAGCTTCCTGCATACGAGTCCAAACCAGCTAACTGAGCGAAAAAAACCAAGAGTAAGAAGCTTTTATTGACAAAACCTAATCGAGAATTTATGCGCAACGCATAAATACTTATCACTTCCCCTTAAAAAGTTATAATTCTTCTCTCTTTCTTTAGAAAGTAAAATCTTGACCAACAGTGTCCATCTGTCGTTTGGTTTATGTGTTATTAATACCGTGTTTTAGGATTTTAGTTAAATACGCAAATATAAGCATTTTAAGGTTACAAGGAAAAAATAGAACACTGCAGTCAGCGTATTTTATAGATACAGTAAACTCATATTTAATAAAAATGAACTGACAGTTCTAGTAAAAAGCCATGACCAGTGGAGTTTAACCATGTCAAGTGTGAAACAGTCATCCACCAGTAACATTAGACGTAGTTGCACAATATCGTGAATTCACTGGAGCTAGACAAGTAAACTATTGGATACCGGCTCCGTAGTCTAGATGTCAAGACCAAGTCACAAGATCTCGAGCTTGAGTTTAAACTATCATGAGATTGTGAATGCATACCGTTGAGAGGTCTCTTACTAAGACGAAAGAGCTGTTCAATGATCTCCAGTTTTAAGCGGCTATCCAAATAGGGTTAAATCTATTACACAAGCTATAAAAATTAACATAGTTGTCATCAAGTAAAGTTACAAGTACACAACATACGCTTAACTCCGTCTGACGTTGTTCATAATCAATTAACTGTTTTTTTAACTGTTCTAATTCTTTGGCTCTGTGAGAACATAAACTAACATATTCTTCTTCTGCTTTTGTATGCGCACTGCATTCTTCCGCCAAAAGTTCATCTAGTTTAGCCAAATCTATTTTTACCTCATCCAGTTTAGCTTGTACATCTGGCAATTCCTGATAAGTGAAAAATAATATTCAGACAAAAATCTGTTAAGAATTGCCAATGTAAATAAATTTTAATACATATGTTTATTATTATTAATGTGCTGAAGAAAGATCTCTTCTCAAGTGAATCAAAAAATTCTGTGAGGACAATGAAGAAGGAAAGGTTAAAATGACCGTCGACCTTTTGCGTTGATGAAAATATCGAACATATTCGGTTTTTTATGACTGAAATTCGTTGACTCACTGTCGATAAAACAAATTTCGGAAAATAATCGGTGTATACGATTTTTTTGGTACACAAAACGAGACTATTGAAGGTCCCAGATTCCGGGGACTTTCAGAAATATTTCGAACAATGAAAACAAAGATAAAGAGTACTCGAAAACGAATATAATTGAGGTAGTTTAAAATTCGCAAAATATTAGTTTGCGCATTTGTTGGATAGAGTAGTCATCATGGAAACGAGAAAAGTCGAACTTAATGAAGTGATGAACGGCAACACAAGCATAAAATCTCACTATATATATATATATATATATATATATATATATATATATATATATATATATTTATGGGAATTTACAAAACTTACTGAACTATCGATTGACGATTGAAGAGTTTCGAGACGTTCAACCAATTCACTTAGTCGTTGTTCTTTAGAAGTCAAAGCCAAAGTCAACTGTTCAACACAAGCCTTCACATTTTGAACTAGCAATGGTAATTGCTTAGCAATATCAAATCCTTTGCGATATGTGCAAACTTCCAAATTACAGTTTTTGGTGATTTGTGAAAACGGTGGTTTCTGTAAAGGATCAATAAGTGTGTAGAATTTACGACAGATGCATTGGAAACGAAAAAGTTCAATGACAAAAAATTAACGATATTGTGGTTATAATTATACGTAAAGTATAACCTGGTACATCCGTTCAAGTTAACAGACTACTTCAGAACGAGTTAAAATTACTATGATAAATAGTAGCAGTGTTAGTGGGAAACGAGGATATTTATGCAGAAAAACAACATCTGCTTCCTACTAAAAAGGACTCTTCGGCAATGTGGGTCTACGATCCCATTAGTGACTAAACACACAGTAGGACGAAAAGGCTGCTCAGTGTCTTCTGGTTTTGAAAGTTATCTAACTAAGGTCAGACTATGTTATGAACTGTGAAATTCAATAATTTTCACAAACCAACATACTAAGAAGATTATTATTAGATTGTGAGTACAGAAATAAGATGTGGAATCATCGCTTAGGCATACAGTAACAACAAACCCATTGAAAAAGCAGCGGCTACTAGGCACTGAAATATTCATCACTAAACATATAAGACCAGAGTAAATATACAATATAAAATCTTTATCGTCACATACAAATATCAATCTAGAAACTGACAGTAAAATAGGTACCAGGAACGAATACAAAACGATCATACAATTAAATTAAAATACAATTGGTGGACATCACAGAAACTAGTAAGTCATGAAACAATAAATAATAATAACAATAATAATAATAATAATAATAATAATAATAATAATAATAATAATAATAATAATAATAATCACACAGCTCTACGGTCAGAGATGCCATTGTTAATTTATTTAAGCTACTAAAAGATTACGTACACTGATAACTTAACTGAATATCAAAAATTACATGAATGAATATTTGTCCGATGGATTTATGCTGCAATCTATTCGCTACATTATGAAAGTGCCTTAACTATTTAATCTTTACACACCGCTCTCAGATGAAATAAGTTGGAGTGATAGGTACTGTCTTTCTAGAACATATGCATACTTTTTTTAACAATAAATAAATAAGTACAGACCCTTAGTGATCCGACAAGACGATTATAAGCGTCCAAAGTAGGGGCGATGGTGCCTTCTGAACGTGTATAATCCAATTCTTTTTGTTCAACTTCTTTAATTAAATCATCTTTAGCATGCAATCGAGCATCGACACGTTCCCGAAGCATAATATATTCTTGAGCTAGTCGTCCATAACTAGAAAAGAAATACTACTTTAGGAGAAAAACTGGACAAATAGGAAATACAATAACACTTGGTTTCTCATCCGTATTACTTTGGATACTTGTGTAATAAAATTTACGCTTATATTTTAATGGTTAAGTTCTGTCGTTTCTCTTTCACTATTTTAAAAATTTTGTGTTGAAAATTAGTGAAGAAAGGTGAAATTCGTCCAATACAAATTGTTAGTAGTTAAAACGCGCAGTTTTTAATTAGTAGGTGAGTTCTACAAAACCTAATCAATTATTTCAGTTCGGGTATCCTGTTATTATTACTGCCACCTCACAAAAACACTGAGACTCAAAGACAAGTACATAAACTTGTACTTGGTTAACAAGTTCTTTAGAGATATTGACATTTGTAAACAGTGATTAAATACATGTATTTAACGAACCTGATAATTTTTCATAAGAAATTTACTATCATATTTCAACTACGAGTTATGCATATTAATTGCCTGAGTCTGATGAAGTTAGCTTTCAGCACAGCAACAAAACATTTTATTAATTCAATTAATTCATAATATAACATACCTAAAAAATATTGGTGTCTGTGGTAAACACTTCGTCGTTCTTAAGTAGGTTGGATTGTGAACGATTGGAATGGGACTCAATAGAATATGATATTTGATATTTTAAATTCAATCATTTATGCTTTCGTGGATATGGACTGCTGATTAATTTTAAAGGATAATCAAATACCTGTTTAAAGCTTTTTGAATTTTATTCGTTCCACAACTAGTCAGATATGATCAACGTAGAGCCTAGAAAAACGTGTACCGACCCATGAAGTTATCATAAGATGTTAGCAGTCAGTCGGCTACAACGTACGACCAGGCACATATATGCATCGGTTCAAGTTGCCATACCTCATTAACACAACAAGACGAACACCTGATTCGTAAAAGTAGTTAATTCAGAGGTGGTAATATATAAAAGAAAGATTGGATATAAGGATATAGTACAGAAGGAAAGAATTAGTTCGTAGAAAGAAAGGTATGAAGCGATTTTAATCTCTTAGTTTAAGGGAAGACAGAGAGTGTATACACCGACGCCATTGTGATCGATTCTCAGCTATGTCACCAACAGTCTCCAACCATTGGTCACAATAGTCGCGTTGACCCCAACAAAGCAGTCTGCATCTATCAACATTGCTAGAACTAGAAGTTAGTGACTCCAAAGACTGATGTCACGTTTTGGTTTGGCCAACCCTAACTTTCTTCCAACCATCACCAACACTAGTCAGCAGCATTGCGCGTCGTGGTAATCAGTAGTCAGGCATACGTAACACGTGGCCCAACCATCTCAGTCGATGAAGATTCACAACATCATCAACTGATTTACCATCATTCCTTAATACCCTGTGTCTAACCTCACTATTACTTACCCGGTGATTCCAGCAGACGCCAGCAATATTTCTAAGGCATCTGTGGTCAAATACTAGTAGCTTACGAGTATCTTATACTCTTAATGGCCATGTTTCGCTGCCGTAAAGTAAAACAGAACGAACGGCTGCACAGTACATTCGTCCTTTTATTGATAGACGGATATCTCGCCTTCACCATAGGTGACGTAAGTTGGCAAAAGCCAAACGAGCTTTTCGAATCCGTGCTGAGATTTCGTCAGACACCAACCCATTAGGGCTGATCAGACTTCCAAGATAAGTGAAGTTGTCAACGCGTTCGACTACTTCACTCCCTATCCTTAGTTCAGATGTTGAGGCAGACCAGTACTGAAGAAACAACTTGCATTTAGAGGGAGAGAAGAGCATTCCAAACATTCTGGCATTGTTGCTTAGTGCTACCAGAAGACTCTGCATTGTATCAGCGTCTTCACCAAACAGGACTATGTCACCCGCGTATTCTAAGTCGATAAGTGGACCTCCTGGAAGGAGATCAATACCCGAGAATCCAGTCGACGAAAAAGTTATTCCCATCAGTAGGTCTATGATGCAGTTAAACAAGATATTAGCAGAAGATGAATAACAAAAAAATGATCGAAATAATGTATTTGAAATAGTGATGAGAAAGAAGCATTGAAAATATAGTTCGAAACAATAGGATGAAGAGGTATCTATGAAGAAGTACTGCAATTTAAGATCAATGAACGTTCTTCGTTCATAATCAAAACTTGGTTTGAAGGAATACGCTAATAAGATAACTAATGCGAAAAATCAATGTGAATAACAGTTTGACATCTTTCAACTGGTATTAACTACTTATATGGTTTAAAATAATCACTTTAAAAAGTTAAGTCGAACGATTATTATTTGAAAACTTGTAAAAAATTGAGATAAGTATGATTGGTAAATTTAACAAAATTAATAAGTGCTTAGTTTAAAAAAGAATAGAAATAGTCTAATATTATAGACGCAAATATTATGTAGTGTGCTAGAAAGACTTAGTGGTTTCAACACTTAACGTCAAAATAACTGGGCGACAGTTTGTAATATCGTACCACTTATTTCAATTTGTAGGCTGCGAGCGGACAGAAGTTGGAAGTTGAATGTAAACACTTCTACTCAGTAGATAAACCATAAATAATATATTTATTGAAAAAAGAAAACATACCCAGCATCTTCTTGTTCCTTTACTTTTGCACGTACTGTAGCCAACTGTTGTTCTGCTTCTTTGTTTTTTAATTCAAGTTCCTTTAAAACTTCTGTGCGCTCTTCGTCTAAAGACTGTCGAAAAGCATATTTTCTATTACATACATAAACATTTTGTTAATTGCCGCACATCTAACATGGAATTATAGTATAGTCAATATACAGAGATGAGTTGAAAATGTACTTTTTACCTAATAACAGAACTACGTAACAATATAGTGAAATATAACTAATACAAACCAAAAACCAAGGAAGGGTCTATCAATGGATCAAATCATGAACCATATCTTTCAAATGAGAGCTAAAGATATAACATTTTGTTGGTAGGTCACTCATTTGATTAAGACATGTTTTATGCAGGGATTGCGCTTATTGCCTTAAAAATGAGCAGATCAACGGTAATAAATAGGCAAAGAGTAGAGCCCTTCGGTGTATTATATATATATATATATATATATATATATATATATATATATATATATATATATACTGGGATATTCCTGACTGCAACTTCGACTTAGCTAACTCGCTTCCTTGTTTGGGAACATAGTACGTTTTTGTCCAAGAAGTGTGCTGATTCTGGGGAGTAGTCGGATGGAGTAGTGTCCGAAGAATACTAAGCAATGAAAGTAACTTGGTCGGATTAGCAAAAATTTCAGAAATAGAGAGTAGTATTTGGTACAGTGGACAAACATACTTGAAGATCAGGTATCTAAACCACTTAGTCAGTCATATTACCATGTTGATTTTAAGTGTACTAATTTGTGAGTAAAAACGATCGCACGATAACTAACAATACAATCAAACAGTTCAGGTAGAATTGGACATCGTGGATTGAAACCAGAGACTCAATAGGTAATAGACTAATGTCGATATCACTAAGCCACAAATCTATTATGACCTGAGCGAATTTTCATAACTTCTAGTATGACATTTATCACCAAGTAGTACTGAAAACGTAAGTAAATCATGCTACGAAATATACCATTTAAATTTATGAGTATTTAAAAGATGAGAAATGGTTTGATACTACTATTAAATGATCTTTTAGATATCAGATTAATATAGACAGAAAGCGTATACAATAATGGGTTTTATTCAAACATTGTGGTTTCTGTACGAAGAGTTAACTGGAACATTCTGATCAAACGCTGTTGTTAAAATCTTGATCTTGGAGACAGAATCCAAAATAAGGACTAGATAAGCGTGACTTTGGTTACTAATAAGTGCTCCATCTATGTAAATATCAGTAATAGTTCTAGTTTCTTGGAGGTAACGTCTGAGACAGTGAAACTAGGTGATCCTGCTAGGAGTAGGTGCCAGTTGGAGGAGCGTGAATAGGCAGAAGGTTTTAGAAACTAAGACCCAATAACTGAAAGTCAAGTGTTATGCCTATGAGGTCAACTTTCCAAGTGATAAGAACTGACTAGGTACCTTGTAAGGAACAATTAACATATAACAGCACTTTGAAGGAAAATAAAAATATACCTTTAACTTAGCTATCTGAGATTCATGGTCGCGCAACTTTTCGTCTAGTGATTTTAAACTGGATTCCGTCTCAGCTAACTGAGTTCTTAATGACCTTTCTTCTCCGTCTACATTATTTATACTATTCATTTCTTTATCCACTTCATTCAGACGATCATAAAGCTTCTTCATATCATCTTCACTTGGAGCGTTCAATACTCTGTTGATACGACAACGGTAATCCTCAATGCAAAAAAACAAAGCCATTCTTTCGAAAATAAGTACCATTTTCTCAGAAAAGTGGGGGTAAGAATGCATTTAAAATTAATTTCATTTACCTTGGATGGAATCCAGGTTATAACATAAATATTCAGTTTCAGGTTGCAAAAGAAGAGAATTTTCACACAAAAACTTGAATCCTAAAATCTAACTTAGTGCATTAAGTAAAGACGGTATATTTGTTTATAAGGTTGTCAGATAATATTGACCAAGAGTGGAACCAAGTCCATTCATCAACCATTTAGACGCAAAATGTTAGCCAGAGTGGGGGTAGATCGGGAATGAATAAGAGTGGTCAAACAAAGAAACAGGATCAACCCATGAATTCATTATTAACTGGAGGGAGTTGAAAGCTTTGGATCCAATCGATTATTGCAGTCAACGGTAAATCTTTAGGCAAGACAAATCAGAATCACTCACAATGATACAGCGGCACAATTGTTTCTCCGTGAAATTTTGAGTTTCACTATTATTTTAAACTTTCTTCATCAACTCGTTTCAGTGCTTCAAAACTACACTCATAGTGTTTAGTTTGTGACCAATACTGATGTTATTTACGTTCATACGCTTTTGATATGGTTTATCGTTGTACTGTCGATCGATGTTGTTGAAGGAACTGAGCTAAATATACCGCTTGGTACTTTTAAAACATATCTAACTTTGGTGACTAATCAAATGTCGCAAGATAGAAATAATATTAATTATTAAACAGAGACCGAACGTATTTTTGAGTAGCCCAAGGTAATACAGTGAACCAATCCACATTTGCCAAATGAGAGAGCCACGTTGTGACCCTGACTACAAGCGCTTGTTACTGATAAAAAAATGAGTTCATTTCATACGTATATATATAATGTTTGCGCCACACTGGACACAAAAACGCCACACTAAAAAGACCCATTATTTTTTATTTCAACACATACATAATGGTACTAAGAGGCACCAAATACATATGCGCCACACAAATCTCATTCGACCCATTAGAACTGAATTGAGTAACGAGAAAACCAAAAATAGGTTCCAGGAACAACTGAGGTCACACTTAGGTAGTTCTGAAAACGAGGCTGACCCGGACGTTGCTTGGAAAGATATACAAACAGCTATAGAAACAGCAGTGAAATCTATCAATGATTTAAACCACAGGGTTACAAAGAATCAATGAATTTCTTTAAGGTCTGTTGCACTGATGGATTCTCGCAAACTCATCCCATCAGGTTCTGAACACGATGAAGAGCGTAAACAAATCAGATCTAGGTTAAGCAGAAGTCCAAGAAACGACCGTGAGCAGCGGTGGGCAACGAAAGCAAAATAGATGGATGAAGTCACTAACTTCTAGTCCTAGCAATGTTGATAGATGCAGACTGCTTTGTTGCGGTCAACGCGACTATTGTGACCAATGGTTGGAGACTGTTGGTGACATAGCTGAGAGTCGATCACAATGGCGTCGGTGTATACACTCTCTGTCTTCCCTTAAACTAAGAGATTAAAATCGCTTCATACCTTTCTTTCTACGAACTAATTCTTTCCTCCTGTACTATATCCTTATATCCAATCTTTCTTTTATATATTACCACCTCTGAATTAACTACTTTTACGAATCAGGTGTTCGTCTTGTTGTGTTAATGAGGTATGGCAACTTGGACCGATGCATATATGTGCCTGGTCGTACGTTGTAGCTAACTGACTGACGACCCCACCATTGATTGAGTCCAGGAGTCCCATAGTAGGACCACAGGGCTGTTCAATATTTTCTGGTTTTCAATGGTTTTTTGACTGAGGTAAATCAGATACAGAGAAAAAACATCTGTTACAAAAGGTGAAACACCGACATACTTCAATATCACTTGGAAATATATCAAGGCCTTCGCGTCTTCTTTTAAAAATAACTGACTTCAATTGAAAAATAATTTTATTCAGCGGCTCTTCTTCAGTATCTTGATCATCATCATACCCGAACACCGAAAAATTTATAGCCTAAACACAGATGAATATAAAGATGATCAATAATGAAATGATTACGTCATTTGCATTTTCTGTTTCTTCTCTGAACCAGTCGAACGCTGCTAAAACTGAATTCCAGGCTTGAGGAGCACCAGGTGCTAACAAATGATGCTTACTAAGAACATTTGGGTAGCCTAGAATTTTAAGATAACTTCAGAAAAACCAAGGATTATGCTGTTTGCTTTGATAGAAAATTATTCTTACTTCAGACAAACTTCTTCCGCTTTAATTCCGTCGTTTTCAATACGAAAGGAGGGCTCAATTTGTCGAACAAGATGTTCGAATATTGAAAATATTTCTTTTGAGTTGGGTGAATGGAGGATTTTGGGAGAAAGGGAATTTGAATAGTCGGTGGTTTCCAGAAACTAAAGTCAAATGAAAGTTAAGCCTGTCAAAACATAGTTTACCTGGATTAAACTTCCTATCATCTTAGTGACATTTGCTTTAGATTTAACCTCACGGTTAACAGGTTTTTGTTCCTGTGGACCAACAGATGAAGTCCTAAATAATGTTCAGCTAATGATTAACAAACAACCTACCTTGCTTTGATATTAGAAGGGATTCCAGTCATACGGCTCTTTCTCTCGGGTTGAAGACTGAAGTTTCGAGGCATAGTTAAGTCTAAATAAGTACGAAATATAAAAAAATATATCAAAAAAGTAATTTTCACGTTATGAAGTAACTGAAAGATGGTGATTAAAATTTACCACACATATTTAAGGTAACCTAAGACAGAAAAGTACGAAAATCAAGATTATGGTAGTAGCACCCTATACGGAACCGCTCTGGAAAGTGAAAGTCATTCTGACAGTTTTCGTTAAAATAGAGATCCTTTTTCATAAACTGAAGCATATTGACTAGTTTTCCAAATTATCATTCTGAGACTAATTCATCTAAGTATAAAATTATCTCTCAGTAAAACTTGGATACTATGTTCTTCTATACCGCTGGTTGGGTAAGTGAAAGACTGCAACCGGTGACTTGAAAAACTACGTACCATTGTTGGATTATAGGAAAAACAAATAGAAAAAGAGACCTTAGACAAAATCAAACTGGTCTAACTCATAACCCTTTACAATGGAGGGGACTCAACGCAACGCAGATTCAGGCAGAAACATGAACTGGTTCGATTTGCCAAACCACATTAGCACGAGAATGAGCCCATTTGAGTGATTTTGAGTCACGTCACCCGACGTTTCCGAAAAATGGTCAAGATGATCGTTCGGACCAAAAAGTCCGTAACTACTAATACGAATCAGATCAACAGCCAATGAGTTCATACACTTGGTCTGAGAGCTCCTAACTCCTAACTTCCCAACTCATTAAACATTGGGCGTTCAGGTAGGCAAAGTAAAGGATACGTAGTAGTTCTTGTAAACTCTTCAGACGATAGAGGTTTAAAACATCAACCGACTTGACATATAAGTCCAGTACTCCACGCATAACCTCAACATTGGTCACTTGGTGGTCCTAACACAAACGATAAATAGTTGGGACACCTATGACCCAAGACTAGTAACTCACTAATTTCCCTTACTTTTAAAGACCGTTTCACAGACATTAAGTAGAACACAGTAAGCGGATAAAGATTGTGTTAAAAAATCTAGATTACCCAATTCAAGTGACGCAAGTTTGCAGACGCCAAGCAAGTCTTCTGAATCCATGGAGATTTTATCAAATACCAGCCCACCGGGACTAATGGAACTCCAAAGATAAGTGAAGTGGTCAGCACTCAACTGCATTACTTCCTACAATGGTTACACGTGAAGGCCGAACCCGACCTCCCAGATTGTTTGGTAATAGCAGGTAATCATAGGGTAGATGGGGGCCAGTTGAACCTTTCCTTAAATTGTTCTGCACATCGTTTTAATCTGCAATAGTGTGGACAATGTTTTTTTCACCAAGTAGAACTTTTGTTAGTATACTTTCAAGTTTTCATTGCTCTTGAGTCTGGTGGGATTCTTATAAATTCAGACCCCACCGAAATTCACTGATTCCCCTGGACTTTTGCTCAAGTCGCTAACATATACCACTATTTTTGCAGCTGATTTGATATCAAACCAAGCTGGATCAGGATGGACGTCCCTTTAATGGTTGACTAGGCATTTAAAATGGTGTTCCTGAGAGGTGATTTTGATTTTTCATCTACGGATGAAATCTAAGAATTCTTTCTGCTGTGAATTTTATAGTTCCAGTAAGATGCAAGCAAACGCGTCTTTGCGTCAAAGCATGATCAAAGTTTAAACATGTGCTTCGGAACAAGGTTTAGTCTTCAGATGAACCTTTCCAGCGATGATAGTAACATAGGTTATTTTGTCCATCGTTGAGTCACCTTAAGGGCTTGTTATGTCACGTGATCTCTAGTAATGACTGAAGTTGGTGGTTGTCAAGACTAAATGGTTAAGAAGAAAAAACTCAAGCGAAAACGATATAATGATACCAAACGAAGCAAATCGTAGTTACCCTATGGACCAAAAGATGGACTTCTGCAGCACATCTTAACCAATATACCTGGCGACGGTTCGTCATTTGATTAAATGAATGGCCACCTTCCATCAACATATATCTAACATCAATGGTGTTTACCAGCTGGTTCTGACACATCAGGAGTTAAGCGCAACTATACGTGACTGTGTGGTTATTTATGTAACAAGAGAAACTTACACATAGATTATGGACTTGAAGAAACATGATTCTACTGGAGGACACCAGTTTGTAGGTCACTTACACTCCAACCAATCGACAGTTGGACTCATTTTCAGCTTAACATATTAGGAAAACAACTGGATATTTCGAGGACAATAAAACAACACTACTAGACACTGTAGCATCATGGTAATGTGGATCAGTAAACAACTAAATTAGATGTAGTTCGCTTCGCTATATAACGACAAGTAATTAAAGCTAAACAAAACAGGAATACGGCATATAAAAAAACGTCAGAATTTGGACACTAAGGAAATCGCCACTAAGAATGAGTACTCTGGTAATCTTAATAAAAACTGACATTCATGTTGCACTTCAACACATTAAGGTCTCAACAGAGATACAAGCCATAATCACAGTTAGTCCAATGAGACGAACCCTATAGAAACATCTTAGGACTCGACCTTACGTTTAAATGGAGCAAGTATCAAGGACTAAACTAACTCCGGTATGGGTGAGGAAAATATCCAAATCAATCGTCCTATTTCGTGATTTTCCCCAGTCGTAAGAAATATGGTAGATTTCTCAAAAGTATGAAGGAAAACCTGTGTCATATGATAATGAGGAAGAACTAGGAAAAACCGAAGATCTCCCCAAACATTTTGATGATTCGTATCTTCCCAATGTTTTATGTTACGCTTTCCCGAAATTTCACCTAAACAGACAAAATTTTCCCAAAAAGTAGGGAGACCAGAAACAGACACAACTACATGATTCGCTGCATCGAGGTGCATAATATTAAAAATTTCACTGAACTCAAGTGTGAGTTATAATCATCTACCAACACCAACAACATACAGTAGTTTCCAAGTGACAAACTTGGGGTGCTACCAAACACCAGTGATTCGTTGTCAACAAAAGTTCATCTAACAAAATATTCAAGAAAATACTGATTTTCAATTTGTGGTATTCACGAAAATCCTACTACTTGATGACTTACAAATGTCCTGGTTAACAAAAACTCTAAACAGCAATCTATATTTAACTGGGAATTCAACTTTCCGCGCACTACCTCAATGCCTAAACTCAATGCATACAAACAAATCAATTATTAAAAAGACGCTACAAAACAGTACAGACACGTGATCGTTTTTATAGAGGAATGAAGAGTTTCTTCATTATTCACTCACACATGGAACCGGAAAACAAATGAAGCATATAGTGACAGAAATGTTAAAAATTTTATAAGTCATGTATAACATTATATTCTGCCTTCTTTTTATGATACCACCGGCGCGACTATATAAGTACTCAGTACGTTTAATTTAGTAGTGTACTGACTGTATAGTGTATAGTGTGTCATATTGATTAGATGGTTGCCAGCTCCCTTACTACCTGATGATTAAGTCGTTTTTTGTGTGCCTTAGTCTTCTACCTAATTTGAACACGGCCAAGATAGTCCATAAACAATCGTAATTTCAATATCGCGGAATAAGCGTCCGACTTTTCATCGGACGGTCGCATGGTGAATCATAAGGAATCACATGATATCATTATGTAATTAATCAATATTCATGGTAAACTGGTCATGCTCATCAGGTCGTTTAACTGGAACGAGATTGTGGTAGTCTATCGTTGCGTTGCAGCAGAATTCTAGCTGTTATACCGTTTTATTGGTTGTACGCAACATGAATGATTAAAAACATTTTGATTTATTTCATCGACTTGTTGGTTAACTTGTGCGCGATAATGAAAGTTAATATTTTGTATACAAATATTAAGATATAACTCCTGACATGACTACATGCTAGCCTTTTATAATTACGAATCCACACTTGTAATTTATCATTTTGTGTATGAAAACATTTGTGGTTTTAGGATATCGTATCATACTTGAAGTTGAATATTCATTGAGGGGACAATTATCCACATGCTTCATGATTGCATATGGATGTTGAGTTCAAGCAAACCAAGTGTAATGGCATGACGGTCTGATTCAAGTCATGTCACACTATGCAACAAATATATACGCTCGATTACCCTACCGTGATGGTGATGAGTTGCTGTTTCTTTTTGCTTCGTACAGAACTAACTAAACCTTGAAGTCTAAGTCATTTTGTGTAAATAGCAAATCAGAAATTGTCGAAGTAACAGTATCAAAAAACTGTAACAGGATAAAAAAGTCTAGTAATGTCAAATGCAAATGCATTTGTAAGATCCATTTTGAATCTGTGGAGATATGACTGACAAGTTTATTTTGTAATTAGTTTTCAGTGTTATTCGTATTTATTTTGTCAACCTTCCACTGTATTTATATTTAACATTAAATGACTGTAACTGTTGTTTGAGTAAATGGCTTTGAACACACTTTCCGTTGTGGTTCTGACATAGCGTGACATACTCTTGCTGGCTTACAAATACACTACTACTCTCACTTTCCTCGTTCTATCTTCGTTTGTGATCGAGTTAACTGAAATCTAAATCATATACCATCATTATTTATGGACTGTAATTGGAATATATCACATTCTACCTTGGATTATATCACTAGAGAGTTCGCCAACCTGCTCAGAATCACCAAGCATTTATAACTGTGGATTTACATTACCGGCCCAATCAGAACACGCAACGTTTGGTCAATTCAAGCAACGTCCCAAATTTTTATGGTATTTGTAACAATTAACTGGTATATATAAATATTACTATTGATCTTTAGTGATTTTGTTGATACTTTCCGCGTTCATATCTGTCTGGTCCACTACAATTATTTGGTGAGCCTCGATTTTTTTTATATAGACATCTACTATATATACATCTACATATTTTTTTTATTATTACTTGGCACGACAGACCATTTTTGTTTTTTGACATTATGAACTCTCCCAATAAGCTTATTAATATAGATACCCCATCAACCAACCCCTTTCATTCATCACAGACAGAAGATAATGTTTTAAACTCAATCAACGCTATTTCTGGACTAAGATTACCAATATACGGTGTCAACAACCCTAGAATTTGGTTTGCTCAAGTTGAGGCACTATTTTTGGCGAGGGGTATACGTTCGCAAGCCACCAAATATGCCCACGTCGTCGGTGCACTACCTAGAGAAGTAGCAACGGAAGTCGGTGACCTGATCGACAACGTACCAGAAAATGACCCTTATGACAAGATAAAAGTTGCAGTAATCCAACGCACATCGCTCTCAGACGAAAAAGGTTTACAACAACTGCTTATTTCATGCGAACCAGGGGATAAGAGATCTTCACAGTTGCTCCGACACATGAGACAGCTCGCCGGCCCATACAAATTGGACGAGACGCTACTTAAGCAAATGTGGTTACAAAGGTTACCACATAGTGTTAGACAAATTCTCAGTATTTCAGGAACCTCTGTCACCCTCGACGACTTAGCTGACATCGCTGATAAGATGATGGAATTATATCCTGATAGTCGCGGAATCAACGCGGTACAAACCTCTAGTAGAGATGCTATGAACCCCCCTCTGGACATTCAGCAGCAAATAGCACACTTAACTCAGCAAGTAGCGTCGTTGCAGGCGACCGTTGCCACGATCCACTCTCGTCCTGCCAGATCGATTTCGAGAAAGCGGCCAAGGTCCACACCTCGCACTAGGTCATCCAAACGGGCAGTAGACACTTGCTGGTATCATGCGACTTTCAGGGAGAAGGCACGTCGTTGCACTAAACCGTGCAACTTTACGACAAACAAGCCAGATTATCAGGAAAACGAGCCGGCCAGATAGTAATGGTGGCGTCTGTTACTGGCCAACAAGTTAGCCGCCTCTTTCACATCAGGGATCACATTTCTGGCTCGGATATTTTAGTCGATACAGGAGCAGAAATTAGCATTATCCCACTTCACCTCTCCCGGAGACAACAAACACTAAGCTGTCTCTCATTGCGGCTAACGAATCAATTATCAAAAATTACGGAGAGCAATCTCTTATATTAGACCTCGGACTCCGAAGACGATTCACATGGGTTTTCATAGTTGCCCAAGTCAAACGACCCATCCTCGGAGCTGATTTCCTCAGTGCCTATAATTTGTTAGTAGATATGACCAAGAAGAGATTAATCGACGCAAATACACGTTTACAGGTAGATGGTACACCTTCCAACGACTATGAAATCCATGGTGTACGGATAATGAAACCTGCGAACAATGTTCTCAACGACATTCTGTCAGAATACGAGTGCATCACGCCGGTTCCTGGGAATGTGCAATTTTTACCGACGTTTTTTCCCTAGCTGTGCGACCATTTTGCAACCTTTGACGGATTTACTGAAGACAGATAAAACAGAAGCTCAGACCAAAAAAGAGAATACCTTCACGTTAACACCTTAGGCCAGAGAGGCTTACCCTAAAGCGAAATTGATGATATCCAATGCTACCATGCTACAGCACCTAAACACCGAT